AATAATCAGATATGCATGAACTCCATTCCCCAGGATATAAACATTGTGGTCAGATGTGTATCATAGTACTCAGTTTGTAATTGTTCAGCTGAAAGCAGCGCTGTTTTATGTAAACAGCGATCAGCAGCATGTATGTCCCTGAGAGAAGCTAAAAGCTGTTGCTTGGAGATATGGGGGTGTCTCTCCTATTGTCAAGTGAGCTGCAATGAGGACACAGCTACAGGGGGGTCCTATTGGTATAGTGGCCGACAGTGTCATGGTGACACGTCACCTGCGCATGCACCATGCGAGTTTACTACTCACGCATGCGCTCAGTCATTTCTGCACCCGCTGCCGTTATCATGGAAACCTATGACATCCACACCGGGCAGGACGAGGCAGAAGCAGGTCGCCAGTGTCATAGAAAACACATGATTCCTGCACCACACAAGCCAATGGGCGGGCAGGGTTGCAGAGATGAGCTGTGAAGAAAAAAAGAACAGAAAGGAAGCAGATTGAGGGCTAGTTCACACCACATGTGTTTCAGTTGCTTTTCCTCTGCATCAAAATGCAGAGAAAGTAGGCTACATGATTGTCAGTCATAGTTAACATCAGTGCTTGCAGTTCGAGTGCGTTCCAGCCACAGACAAAAAAGTAGAACACGCCGCATCTCCTCCGCACATAACTGCACTGGAACGCGGCTAAAAAACGCACTGGAGCGCACCAAAATGCACTGGAACACGCGTCCCCATCTAAATTGAAGAAAAAAAAGAGGGGAGAAAGCAAACTCAAATGCATAAAAAAAACATTAGAGCGCATAAAAAACGCATCTGGACTGCGTCTCCATAGTGCCACCCAGCCCTGAGACCGATGATAATCGGTCAGTAAATGCAGCTGTTGAGAAGTGGAAGAAAAGGGAGTGATTAAAAAATGGAAACAAGGCTGGAAACGAAAAACCAATAGCGGGAAAAAGGAAATGAAAAAATCTAAATGAAACTAGAAAAAATAAAGCTAAAAAATAAAATGAGATAAAGAAAAAGGGAGGAGATAAATCATAATGGAAAATAAACCGGAAACAAAACAAAAAAAAGTGTAGGGAGTGGCACAGCTCACCCGCTTGCAGAGAGAGAGACCACTGTGAATACTGCGAATGTGAAAAATTTAAACTAAAAGTTATCTACAAAGCTATATACACTTCAATCATGAGGAATCGTCCTAACCAAAGTTCATCTGCTATCCAAAAAGCACAAATATAATGTATTAATATTAAGTCCCCTTGGTTGTGTTGTGTCAGGGGTATGGATCTAATGAGCTTCACAGTGGAGGAGGAAGTTGTCACAATCTCCTCTCGCCGATCAACTGACGTGTTTGATGGTTATGCCCCCTCAATTCATATACCTAGTGTCCTGCCGAAATAAAATGGACTGCTACGGGTTTGCTCAAATCAATAGGTTCACCCTTGATACTCTTGACTAGAGCTGTTTTTTTTTTTTTCACTCCTGTGTTAACCTACACTTAAAGGGACCTATTTGTTTTACCCACATGAATTGCTGAGCAGGGGCATTTCAGAATATAAATGCAATAATCAGTGTTACAGTTCAGGTAACCCTGTATCTGGTAACGTTTCCCACTGTGGGGATGTGTGAAATATTCCCCACAGATCAATGAGTTGCATACATTACAATTGTAATGTTTGTAACAACCCTGTCTTTTTGATAACTTCAACACAGTGTATTTGGTCCTAGGGTCTGCTTGAACTAATAAGTCACGCAGGTTTCTACCTTGCTTATGTACCAATAATGGAGTTTTTAAGTCGGGTGATAGTGTCATTAGCTCTAACGATGTTCATGTTATGCATGACTGCTTGTTTAATACGCTCAGATTCCTGATTTAAGCCACGTATAAGTAGCGGCCTGTTGGTGGCCCTAGGGCTGCCTTCAAAATCTGTTGTAGCTCTGGCTAATGCCTGGTCAAGTACTTGAGTAGGATAACCTTGTTCCACAAATTTTTATATACATGGCCTCAAGTTGTTCTATCCTGTCATTCCTGTCAGGAGCAAATGCGTAACACCCTCTTGAACTGTGAAATAGGCAGGCTATCATGGAGATACTTGGGATTTGCGCTCTGGTAATGTAGTATGGTATTCCTGTCTGTTGGTTTTGAGAACACGTCTGGAGTGTGCCCTGGTTATTAGTAATCCTCACATCAAGATATATTAATGCTGTCAGGAGATATCTCAGGGTTGAAAATGATACTGGGAAAGATGCTGTTAAGCTGATTGACAAACTCGTAAAAAACAGATGTTTCCCCTTCCAAAATAAGGAAGATATCGTCAATATATCTTAGCCATCATTTACATGATCGATAAATAAAGGCATGGGATAAATGATGTTGGGATAAATTTTGTCACCCAATTGTTTCTGTCCAAGTGTTTCCATGTGCGAGGGTAAACTGATGGAATAACTTTTTTTTTTTTTTTTTTTTTCCTCATTGGGGCCAGCACCTTGTTTACTTGCTCCGATGAGATCTTAGCATTAAGAAAGCCCAACACTCCCCTTTCCTGATGAGCAACCAATTGGTGCTTGTCACACTGCAAGGTCTTCCCTCACTGCTAGTCCCCAGGAGCGGTGCTGGAGACAGGAAGAAAGGCGAGTAGGAGGTAAACTTTTAATGTTTTTAACATTGTGCAGTTTAAGTCACCATAAAGCTTCTTTCATTTTTAAAAGCCCCAGACATTCATAAAAGCACTTCAGACTTAAATGTGGCTTTGGTTAGATTTTTTTTTTTTTTTTGTCAGGACAAGTAAATTGTCATGAGGGACAAGTAGATTGGGAACCCAATTTAGTCCCTGAACAAGTAGTTTTGGTTTGTTTTTTTTTTTTTTTTTTTTATTTAATTTCCACACCCCTGCACCCTATAGCATTTCTGGTCGTAGCCATCTGATTCATCTTGCATTTACTTCCTAGAATTTATCTGCCCTTAGCTCAGCCATGCAGGCAGGGGGATGTGCTTGGCTGAGAGAACCCCTCCTGAAGACTTCTGGGATGTATGACATAATTTGCCTAGGTATAGAAACCAGGAAGTAACTGAAGAAAATAAAAAAAATAAAAAGTTTAAAACGAGTAAATATAATATACTTTTCTATCCATTTACTAATGCTAGAAGCATAAGGATTTAAAATAGTCATTGTTGATTGAGGGTAAAGTTCCACTTTGAGTATGATCAAAGGTCAGATTTTGGCCTCGGCAGTCTATTTTCAGTGGCCGCTTTGCTTTTCGTTCATTGGTGTATGAAAAACTATGTTGGAGCCTATTGCAGACTTCCTTTGTGTGTTTTTTTTTTTTTTTTTTTTTTTTTTTTTTTTTTTTTTTTTTTTTGATGCAGAAGTTTGTGTTTGTAATTGCAATCATTTTGACAGGTAGGGTTTGTAACTGGTGGACCTTTCTTGGTCCTCCACCATGACAAGTTGGTTCTTTTGAGCTCTGCTGTCTTTTTTGGCCAAGATGGTTTTGGCCTACCAACTCAGCCTGGACATGGTTTTAACTACTTTTTGTCCTATAACTCAGTCACCTAGGGACAAGGCTCACCACAGTGGATGTGCTTCATGCTGTCAGGATTAACTGAAGCTGAATGCAATGTTTCAACAATCAGTCTCTTCGTGGGGACCAACGAAAGGTCATACAACTAACAAATATTTCTCAGCTTACAGTTTGAAAATGGTTCCACCTTGCTCGGTGACTGCTTATTGTACCAGGAGTGTATTTGCTTCCTGGGCTCTCCATCAAGCTTCAGTAGCTCAAGTTAGCAAAGCCGCTACCTGCTCTTCAATTCACACTTTAGCACAGTTTTAAGAGGTGGCTGTTCAAGCCCCTGGGGACACTACATTTGGTTGCAATGTTTGCAGCTTTCTGCATGAGCTTCTTTATCATGTCTGGTTTGTTTTTGGGGCTTGTGGCCATGTTGCCCTCCTATTCAGTGCTTTGGGACATCCCTGTTTGTAAGTATTACTAAAGCTGCTCTGTGTCCTATGATGCACAATAAAGAAAATTATTTTTGGCTTATCCTCATGGAGTACATCAGTGGACACCGAGATCCCTCCACTCTGTATTGTGATTTATGGCTTGCTACAATACTGAAGCCCTTCTTACAGGGGAGGCATTATGCCTAAGAGGAGACTTACTGTCCTTTTTTGTTTTTTCTTTTTTTCTTTTTCCAGTTTCCAGTCACCTGTAGGTGGCGCACAACTCTGTAAGGATTATTAAACTACATCACTGGACGCAGAGGTCCCTCCCTTCTCTGCTGTGATCTGTGGCTTACTAAGGCTGCTCTGTGTTTTTGTTATGTACTTCAAGAAATTGATTTTACAGTTAACCCAAAAATCCAAATTTTAGTTTAAAAAAAGAAAAAAAGCAACCATGTATGTTTCTGGCTGAGCCTGTGTCTGCTTTAAACAGTTGCACACCATCATAGATGTAGGTGCATTGCCTCTTGATTTAACAGGATATATTATAATACATGAAGCCTTGCCCATCTATTTTCAAATGCAGGCAGGTATCTCGGCACTCTTTTTGCTGACCCCTCCTCTAGCTGATTTAATCACTGAGGACAGGTAAAGCAGTAAGCTGCCATCAGTCATGCTGGTGAGGTGGTGCAGGTGGAGTGAACAGAGTTTGTACTTGGCTGACAGCAGTGTGACTACAGTGGTGGTAGTTCCACTGACTGTATGTGAACAAAGGACTTGACAGTACTGCAGGTAATCGCAAAGAGACTATCTTAGTGTTGTCCACCTGCGAAAGGGAGTGGATTGCATGTTGCTAATACTTGCAGGAGTCCTAGATAAAAAAAAAAAACATAGAAATGTACTTTATTCCGTTATTATGATTTGATTGCCAACAATTTACACATACATGCATGAAACCACACTTAAGAATTTTAGTTTTAGGGTTTACATTCACTTTAGCTCACTGCTTTTTTTGCGTTAAGTAAACTATTGTTCTAGTCTAAGATTTTGTGTATTTCAGGGTGCAATAACGAATCCATGGACTGTGACATCAAGATAGAACCTCCTGGCAGCCCTGACCGTGAAGGTGGAAAGGAAATGGAGACGGGGAAGGGAAATGAAGATTCAGAAGATGTGAAAAAAAAGAAGAGAAAGCCATATAGGCCAGGTATTAGTCATACCTTTTGAGTTATTTAGATGGTATAGTTACAATTGATTGTGAACAGAATTGACTAATATGATTGCCTCTTAGGCATTGGTGGCTTCATGATTAGACAGAGAAAAACCCATACACGGTCAAAAAAAGGGCATGCAGCTTTCTTGGAAGCCTTCCGTGAGAGCCAAGGTCAAGACCAGATTCATCCAGATGATGGTACGGCACCACACAGTACATGTGTTTAACCAAGAAACTTAATTTTTCGTTCTAATAAACCTTAGTCTGTGCTGTTTTCTAATGGAGTTCCCTACTGATTTCATTTGTTATTACATTCTGCCTTGATTCTTTCAATTTTTTTTAATTTTAAAGCTTTAATTTTATAAACCATTTAGCCTGTGAATTAACCTGTTTTTTTTTACCTGGTAAACCTAGTAGTAGAGACACCTATCGAAGTTGTTGCTGAGCCAGCAACTACAGAGGTAGATGAGAAAAAGAAACGAAGAGGGCGGAAAAAAAGCAAACTTGAAGACATGTTCCCAGCATACCTTCAGGTAAACTGCTGTATGTGTGTTACCTCTCCATGGTTATATATTAGTGGTAGCTCAGTTTGTAACACAGAGTATTTATCTTGTCCATTCCAAAAATATCTGAAGACAGAACCAAGCACACAGCATTAAGCATACTAAAGACATTTAATTTAAGATTAATTCAGGGTGTTTTGGATACTGATTTGTTTTCTTAAAAATTCTTCATCACGCTCATAAATTATCCAGAAAGAAGTTGGGATGAGAACATAGCTACTGTATTCTGTAACAATATGAGCCATCTGCTTCTTTATCTTGACCATCAAAATGTAGTTTGGTACCTTGTACAGTCTTGACTGGAATTTTTATGTTCATGACCACTTTTACCATTGCAGACTGTAGGGTACCAGGGAAAAAAAAAAAACCCTCATTGCAATAAAGGAGTAGCTGAGGGCTGAAGTTGCAATTGCTATAGTTAAACAGTTGTGTTCATTGATGATATTTGTGGCAGCTGATGGTCTCCTCCTTGTATAGGGGTTTCATATAAGAATGTTAAAGTTTTATAAATGCATCCTCATGGAGATATGTATGTATGTATGTATGTTTTGTTTTTTTTTTTTTTCAAAATGTTTTTTTTTCTTTTTTTTTTTAAATACCTAATAGGAGGCCTTTTTCGGTAAGGAATTGATGGAACTAAGCAAACAAGCCCTTCTTGCTGCTCGGCCTGTGCCTCAGAAGACAAAAAGTGTGCAGAGCATACAGTGTCCAGCATCCATTTCGACAGCTCAGAGTTTACAACCCGCTCAGCCAGGCACAGGTAAGAAGGCATGCAAAGTTGCAGTTTGTTGATGCACATTATGTCTGGTAATGACCTAAGATTAAGACCTAAAGGAGTTTAGCAGAGGCTGCTAATTTGTTTCTCTTGTGGCAGGGTTGTTTTCCAGGAAGCTCAGAAGAAGAGAATATGTGGGCCTCTGTTGCTTACCACTTTCTAGTTTTCTGGTTCATTGTGGAACACAAAAAGTCTTTAAACTCTGGGTTATATTACCACCCATGTGAGGATTGGACAATGACAAGTGCCCTCAGCTCACACACTAGTGGTTCTTGCAGCACATCTACTGTTCATGCCATTGTCTGCAGCCCAGACTCATGTTATCCTCTGCTTTTATACTCTATTCTGTCTTTGGAGTCCTCTTTGGCTCCATGGGGTTTGGCTGCATTATCTTCACTCCCAGCTTTTTCTGCAGTCATGCAAGACTTTGACCCAAGTTACGAAGTAATGTGCAAACTTTGATTGCAGGGCCCACAAGCATGCCTTCTTATCCTCGCCTGCTTATTCTCTATCTGATTTGCCTGTGGCCTTGGCAGGTTGTGAGACACCAGCAGTAGACTGAGGTGTTGCAGTCTACTGCTATCACTCTTAAATAAGAGGAGACTGTTTTGGCTCTAAGTGATATGGTGTACACCTCTCTTAAAGTAGAGTATTAGCTAGAACATGTGGAGCAGATGTCTGTTTGTTAATTTTCAGATGTGACAGGGCTGGAAGCCACCCATCTCTTTTTTTGCATGTCTCATTTCAATGAATATACGTAAGGCAGTTTGCTAAAGGGCTTGACTGTGGAACCCTTGTGTAAGAAAACATTTGATCTATATCAAATATCATTGCCCCTGTCCCATAACAATTTCAGGGTTTTCTCCAATTTCTTCATTGTTCCCTAACCCTAAGGAGGCATTCAGTGGACATCAAAGATGCTTATCTGTAATTCACCCATCTTTCCAGTGCATTGATTATTACGCTTTTTGTGGCCCCTGCTCTACTACTTAGTCATATCTTAATTGTACAGTACAAGAAAGAGGATGAATATTTAGACTGAGTTATAGGCTGGTAACTTCAGGTGATTGGACACTGGCAAGCTTTGGTTGTCCCCCCATAGCCCTACCCCACTCAGTTTGTCCTCAGTTTTTCAGTAGTTCTTAACCCTTGACGCCTAAGGGTAAAACAAATCTAAATGCCTAAGCACAGTTCTGCAACTTTGACATGTGTTAGTAAAACCGTACCTATCATCACAACTACTTTGTACATCCAGGTGAATTATACCTTGTTTTGTTCAGGACAAATTGGGCTTTCATTTGGTGGTAAATGGTAATGGATATCTCCTGATCCCCCCCCCCCCCCCCCCCCCCCCCCCAATTATCAAAGGAAAACTGGCCCAAAATAGTAAAAAAATATAATTTTTTTTTTAATTTAGCTGTGTGTTTCTTGTTACTACTATAACATACCACCAAATAACAACCCAAAATAAATTCTCCAGCTCTTGACGTTCGCAGCGATACCATATATGTGTGTTATTTGTACCCGTAGTACAGCCCAGAAACAATAGTGCATATTTTGGTGTTTTTTTTTTTTTTTTACCTAAAACACATTGACGGTAACTGACACTGATACCGAATCTCTTTAAAAATCCTGACATTTTGACCTTTGACCATGACCTTGACCCAAACACCCTGGCACTGAACTAGATCAAACCAGGGCTGTGGAGTCTGTAGATAAATGTTCCGTCTCCGACGCCTCAGTTTTGTATTTCCGACTCTGACTCCTCTGTATTAATATGCGAATGTATTTTATACATTCCTTGAAGGAAAGAAAGGCAACATACATGTCATTACCACAGGACTACTGGCTGGGAAGCCAACAGTCTACTGTATTGAACAGTTTAAGCAAAAGACAAACACAATGAAAACAACAAAGTTTTATTAATTTTTTTTTATTAATTAATCAAGTGGCTGGATAGTAGCAGCAGGCATAAACATCAGGAACAGGAACTTTACCAGTCCAAAAATACAAACCACATTATTTGGTTGTTTTAGAACAAAAACAAAGCTTATCTATATGAACCAAAAACAAAATCTGTAAAACACTATGGAAAGTATAAGTATTGCCGCTCCTAATTGTGCGTTGCGTGCCATATAGTGAAGCACATGAAAAGCATGCTTCTTCACGGTCACTTAACGTGTTCGTTTTGCTGTTACGTGAGGCACTGCATGCATTGGTCTTTATTCTTACAGTAGAGAAGTCATTAATTATAACTTTTTGTGAATTGGGACATTTAAACTTGCTTTTTTTTTTTAATTCCAATCAAAATTTATTCGGAGTCGGAGCATTGTTTGCCGACTCCGACTCCAGGTACCCAAAATTTTTCCTCCGACTCCACGACTCCGACTCCACAGCCCTGGATCAAACCTTGATCTAGGTATTTTTATTTCTATTATTTAATAGTTTTTTTTTTTTTTCTAACATTTTTTTTCCCCCCTCTATGCCAATAGTTAGAGAGATACAATGTATCTCTCGCCTCCATTCATAGAAAATAAAAAACCAACGGGGCCGAGCTGTACAGTGACTGATCACTGTGATAGCCAATTAGAGGCTATCACAGCAATCATGTGACCCAGAATCAGGAGTCCAAGGTCCTGATCGGTAGAATGGAACCCGGTGCTCTGTGACACCGTGGTCTTTGTACTGGGAGTGTGCCGTGCTGCACGCTCCCAGCAGAAAGACAGGTACGCAAATATGCGGCCCCACGGAAAAAAGCCCAGTTCTGTGAGGCCGAACATTTGTGTTACGTCGGCGTCAAGGGGTTATGGTAATGGACCTATTCTCCCTTACAGAAAAATCACACTTTTTTTTTTTTTTAACTCATTTATTATTTTCAGTTTGGATTCTTCAATCAATTCTTCAGTTAAAGCAGTAATAAAACCAAAACATCTCCTGTATTATACAGACACCACTCTGCATGAATGCGCAGATTTGGATAGCATTGGCAATCTGGGTGGAGGGGAGTGTTAGAAGTACTAGTAGATTTAAATATGCTGATAAATTGAAGCTGAACTCCAGCTAACACTTTAAAATCAGTTACAACAAGTAGTTTTTCCTTTTGTGATAAAGGTTTTATATTAATAAAGCTGTTCATTTTAAGTGCCCCTGCCAGTGTTAAATGGTCGGTCTCATCCTTGTAACTGCAAGAGAGCTGTGTTGAAAAACGGACTTACTGGCCAGATCACCAGATGAACTCTCCACTGTCTCCTAATAAAACCATAGAAACCGTGCATCTGGTTCGGTCCAACCCTGTTAAAACCTCTGGAACTGTACCTGTACTCCACACAACAGGAATGTCCTTTTAAAGTTGCTTTTGAACATTGGGTCCTACATGGGTGCTCACCTAGGCACTTTGGACATTGCGCGTAGGTAGCCACAGGGTCATGACTGTGGTCCCATTTCTGTGCACCCTGAAGATCCTTCCAAGAGTATACCAACTATGTCTGACTTCTATATAAGGGATCAGGGATGTGGACAGGGGCACCTTGTATTTGACAGTTACCGAGTTCCCAGAATC